GAACGTCTTTCGACCCACCATGAAAGGTGGGAGTGCGCTAGACTTAGACAGTTTCAGAGCAGCGAATGGGTCCCGAGTTTCCATGTCGGGACAAGCAGAGTTGGACATGTATTTGTTGTTGGCCGATTCATGTGGTAATCAGAAGTGGAAGCAAGCACACATGAAGGTCATGGTCGGTCAGATCCGACACAACGTTCTGTCGGTGACAGCCTTAGCTCATTCAGGATGGCAGTTTTGTCAGGGTCCAGATGGTTTTGAACTTAGTGTACCTTCGGCAGGACTTCATGCAGTGGAGACAGGTTACTTTGCCAATTGTCCTTGGGTTCGTCTACACACCAGTGCCGTGCAGGGTTTTGTAGGGAATCCAGATTTCAACACCTCTGAGGGCCTTGTATGCCCTTTGGCAGTGAATGTCAGCTTGGAGGAACATCGCAGGCAAGGTCACATACCTCTTCATCCCGCATGTTTGGAATGCGCGAAGGGTCGTTCAGTTTTTCAGCATCGCCGTCGACAGGAAAAACAGGTTGAGATTCAAGCGGATTTTGCTTTTCTCACCGGTCGCGGTGAGGTCAGTCCGGAAGCTAGCAAACGAGCGCACAAGGTTCTCATCTTGTCGGATGTTTTCTCAGGAGCTCGTGGTTATGTGCTTATGGATGGAGCCCAGACAGCCAGGCGAGTTGGCGAGTGGTTAGACCACTTTGGACACAAGAGTCGTAACCTGGAGGTTACGCTGTTGGTCCATACGGACGCTGAGATTGCTGTTGGAGAAGCTGTGGCGAAAGGAGCTGAAGGGTATAAGTTCATGGTTCGTCGTGCTTCACCACAGCAGCACCAGTCGATCGGCTTGGCAGAGCGATCAGTCCGTGAACTGAAGGAGTCTTTGAGTGTTTTGAGAGCGGACCTCAACCAGAACGGCGTGGACATCGTTTTTGCCTCGGACACGTTGAGTGATGTGTTGACATACTGTGCACTATGTTACAATCACTTTTCCAAAGCACGAGGGTCAGACAGTAGTCCGCTAGAGTTGTTTGTTGGTAGGAAGCTCTCACGACCTACAACTTCTTTGTTCGGTTCATGTGTACTCGCAGAACTCCCGGATTCGCTTCGTGCACAATCTCCAAACGAAACGAGAAACATAGAAGCTTGTTATGTTCACCCCGGTCTCGTTCGTGGAAGTGTCGTTCAGGGCCTGGTTCGTGAGAATGGGGCCATGGAACTTGTTCGGTTTGTTGCACGAAATATTCGCCCGATCGAACCTCTTCAATGGAAACTTCCTTTGAGTGTTGGCCTCATTGAGCGTCTTGAACAGCACACAGGAGAACCAGCGCCAGCAATGTTGGAAGCACATGAACGCCCAGCAGCAGCAGAGAGAGTGGAGGAGAGTGAACGTCCAGCGGCAGCACATGTGAGTGATTTACCAGCTGATGAGTTGCGTCGGCTGAAGTCGCAGGATCTTCCCATGGATGCCTCGCGAACATCACGGCTCGTTCCTACATCGGGAAATAGGCTGAAGAAGAGAAGTGTTGGTTTTCGAGGTGAGTCAAGTTCCTCTGTTCCTGTTCAGGCACCAGATCCCGCTGTTGGAACATCAAAGGCGGATGCATCGACATCACCACCAGCAGAACCAATGGAAACGAATACTCCAGCAAGTGATCCGCCATTGCAGGTGGAGAGGTTTGCACCGACGCATGGATGTCCCAGTTGCCAGACAGGAATGCAGGCGCCAGGGATCAGGCATTCAGCAGCATGCAAGAGACGCTATGCTGAGTGGTCTGAACAGTTGAAGTTGAAAGAACGCAGGATTGAGCACCCACCGTCGGAAACATCAGTGGATGTCACAGTTCCCGCACCTGTCATGACCTCGGATTCTATTCCTCGTGAACAAGAGTTTCAGCAACGGTTCAAACGAAAGGCAGAGACGGAAGCAGATCACTTGGAACAGGAGATCAAACGGCAGGCGATGGAACTAGAGGCCCCCATGGACTCCTTAGGATTCTGTTGGGTTGAAACGGGTGAGCCAGTACAGCTTTGGAACTTGTCGCAAATTGAGGGTGTTCCATCTTTCTCCCCTTTAACTGGCCCGGACATGCTTGATCAAGATGTGTGGGAAATGAGCGCCATTCGTTTTGATCATGGTCATGTTTGTGAACATATACCCATGGAACTAGGAGGACGCACAGTTTTGATTTGGAAGCCAACGGCCATCATTGATGACCAAACATTGGATGAGTTGAATGTTGAACAAGGGTTTGTAGGAATGCAAGAAGAGATCTACAATTTGGAACACTGCAAAACAGGTAGGACGATTTCAGAAATGGAAATGAAATCCTTTTGCAAGAAGTTTCCCAATGCTCGGTTAATCTCAAGTCGTTGGGTTGCAGCTTTCAAGTCAGCAGAGCGAGTGAGGACTCGCATTGTTGCCAAAGACTTCAACAGAGGTCAATCAGCCAGGAGCCTTGGATTTTCTTCACCGACACCATCTATTGAAGCGTTGCATCTTTTTCTAGCTATTTCAGCAACCAGACGCTATTTGCTTCGTTCGTTGGATATCTCACATGCCTTCATGCACAGCCCTTTGGGAAAGGACATGCATGTTGTGTTGAAATTGCCCTTGAGTGTGAGTTTGGACGATGGACAACCCGCTTTCCTTGTGTTGGATAAGGCCTTGAATGGTCTTAGGGACGCTTCACTTTGTTGGCTTCAGTTGTTGTCGGAGACTGTGAAGACCATTGGTCTTTGGACCGACTCCATTGAGCCGCGCGTGTATAGTGGAGCAGTGTACGACGGAGACACACACCTTGGACATGTCTTGGTTATCGTCTATGTGGACGACATCTTGCTGGCCTCGTCAACGGAAGAGGCAGAAGCATTTGTTGTGGACACCATCTCCAAGGTTGTTCCGACCAAGACCACAGGACAAATTCCATTGGAAGGAGGGTCGCTCACATTCATTGGTCGAATCATCCAACGAGTTTCTCATGGAGACGAGTTGTTGTTGTCGATCAGCCCGTCTTACTTGGACTCCACCTTCAAGGAGTATGGCATTGAAAAGGGGAATGATGCAGCCCCGGATGTCGCAAGTCATTTGGAGAAAACAATGACAGACGAGAATGCCAAGAAGCCTTTGAGTAGTGAAGCGTATGGACGCTTCCGACGAGCATTGGGCAAACTTTTGTGGATGAGCCAGGTGAGACATGACTTGAAGACATGGTTGAGCATCATTGGATGCCATCAAGCGGCACCGATGTCGGGAACGGAAGCAGCGCTTAGATCGGTGTTGCGTTTTCTTAAAGGTGATATGCATGTTGCCCTTGTCTTCCCGACTCGTGATCCTTCTTTGGATAGTCAAGTGGGTGAGAAGCAATTGAGAACTGTCAATCTTCATTGTTTTTCGGATGCCAGCTTCGCTCCGTATCGGTTCAACAAACGCCGTGGTATCTCAGGAGGTTGTGTGTTCTTTGAACGCTCACTTGTACGGTCGTTAGCTCGACAACAGCACGCACTTTCACTTTCATCTTGTGAATCTGAGTTGTATGCATTGCAGTCAGTATGTCAGGAGTCTGTTGCATTTGGAAAGTTGGTACACCGATTGCTGTTTAGCATTGAGGAGATGGACGAGCCAGATCCAGTTCATGTATTCCTCGAATCGGACAGTTCGTCGGCGTTGCAGTTGGTGAAAGCCTTAGATATTCCAAAGAAAAGCAGACATGTTGAGATCCGATTGTTGTGGTTGCGTGAACAGTTGGATGGCGGGCGGTTGTTTGTATGCCACCGACGTGGAGAGTCAAACCCCGCTGATCTGTTCACCAAGTGCCTTCAGAGTCGTCTCTTCTTTGCGCACAGGTTCACGATTGGTCTTGTCAAACTAAGTGGACTTCTTGAGATGTTGGCGATTATGCAGTACGCTGTAAGCTCAGGAGCTCGAGCTTCTTCGGATTTTGCAATCGTGGAAGTGTGTTGCTCAGAGCATTCATCTCTTCGCAGAGCATGCGAGTACTCAAGAATCCCTTATGTTGGCATTACCGCCCAGATGCAGAGTAGGACCACCTTTGTACGCGTTCGAACTTGTGTTCAACAATGGGAGAAAGCAGCTCTTTGGGTACATGTTCATGCATCAACCCCATGTTCCTCAGGATCCCCTTTGAGGAACTTCTCAACGACGAATGTCATCACTGCAGCAGAACAGGAGTGGCCGGAGATCATTGAAGCTGTTGGAAGCTACTTGAGCTTAGGTCACAGTGCTTCGTTTGAACTTCCACAGGTGAATTCCATCTGGTCACGACCTGAGACGAAGGATGTACTGTTGCAATGTGGATTGACTAACGAGTGCTTTGTACGCCTTTGCAGGACTGGAAGCGTGAATGTACAGGGGGAACCCATAGGGAAAACCCTAAAGTTCGCTTCGACGTCAAAAGGCTTTTGCACTGTGCTTCATAGGAGGTTTGGTGTTTGCACTTGTAAGCTAGAGCATGCAGCTATGGACCATGTGGATTATCCTAGTACAGCTAGCTACACGAAGAAACTAGCAAGAGGGATCGTCGATGCCGTTCGTGGAGCTCGTAGAGATCCTTAGTTCTTGTTTGTTGGAGTGAGCACCTTTTGGCAGTTGTGCATGATGTTCAGCTTGAAAGGGGGACAATTTACAGTGAATAGCGTTGGATGTGTTCCTTGACTTTCATTTTTTTGGCGTTTTGTTTCACGTTCGTGTTTTGGCCTTAGCTTCAAAGAAGAAGGCGTCGAGCTTACTAGTTTTCCAGTACAGCAGACCACTTTTGTTGAACGCAAAGCAGTTCAAACAAGTCAGAATGAATGTCACAAAACGTCACAAACTTTCCAACAGAGTGTCACAAACTTTGACAGAACAATGCATGCGCAATGTTCTCAGCATGTATACACTTCACAGTTCACACTGTATGTACATATCTCCGCCTTCTCACCTCCCGCTTCCCTTGTTGTTTTTTTTGGAAACCTGGATAGGTGAGAGGAGTCCCGAACTAGAGGTCACTTTGGTGCCCTGGTGGTTGTGGGCAGCACCTTTAGTGAACGCCTTGAGCCATGTCCAGCTCCAGTGGTTTGCAGAGCAAATGGACGCCGGAAGATGAGTGGGCATTGTCCCTGTTGATGCAAAAGCGTATGAACGCTGACACGACAGGAAGTCTTGGGCCACCGTCCCTGCCGGCCAAAGGCTCACTACAGTCGGCAGGAGCAATGCATGATGGCGCAAAGAGACGCTTGGTAGCTGATGCTGCAGATGGTGACGCACCTTCCGGATGGGAGCAAGTGGATGCTGAGGATCAGCCCACGTACAGTGGGTACAGTGGGAAGGTCCGGACAGATGACACTGTCTTTGAGGAAGCATTGATAGCCGCCCTGGATGCTTCCCCAGTGATTGGTGCATCAGCAAGCCAGCTGCAGCTTCCTCCGGGTGTGGACACCCTATCTCAGTGGGGGAAGACCCTTGTGTCCTTTGGCCAGTACAAAGGAAAGTACTCCTACCACGAGATTGCAAGCGGAAGCAGTTTCTGGGATTATAAGAAGTGGGTGAGGACCCACATCAAGCCTGGAACTAGCAAAGGTGCGGCATTGGACTTTGCAGCTTACTTGCGAGCGTATGACAAGGAGCATGGTCACTCGCAATTGCCGGTGTTCCCAGGGACATCGATTCCTCGGCAGTTCAAGGATGCCTAAGGTAGTGAAAGGCATCCAGATGGATTTGGAATTGGCTATGAGCCAGGCAGCGCTGGAATTTTGAAAGCAGCTTGGACCTGGACGCCTTTTGTGTGGTTTTGGGCACCTCAGCTCAAAAGGGGGTGTGAAAATGTGGAGGTGCTGGATGCACCACATGTGGTGAGCTGGGTGCTCGATGCACCATGGATTGCACATTTGAATGATGCCAGCCGAGAGCTTCTTGTACACCAAGTATCATCGATGGATGATACATGAATGCCTACTTTTGCACCGGAAGCACTGCAGTGGAGAGCAAGCTTTTTGTGCACCAGGTATCATCAACAGATGATACCAAAGTGGACACTTTTGCAATGGACTAGCATTGCACACAACAACGAACCTTTGCACGCCAATATCATCAAAGATGACATTGGAAAGAACACCTTTGCAATGAACTAGCATTGCCCTTTTCAGGCACAATGGTACGAAATTTGTTTTTGGAAGAGGCCATAATTTCCAAAAGGCCAAGAGCTTTTGTATGCATTTTTGAATGCGCGCGTCTCACTTTGTGATCTGCGCGCATGATCACAGCACGTACAGTGTGCATATGCTTTGCATTTTGAAGGCAGTTTGCACAATGTGTTTTTGGAAGCACACTTTGAATGTGTTCAGTTTCATGTAAAGATGGAAACGATGAACACAATGTTTGCATTCAGTCCGTTGAGTTTTCAACTTTTGGACGCCTTGCAACGTTTTCTCTCAAGAAGGAGAGGCTCAAGCAGAAGTGACGAACGTCACGTTGGTTGTGAGTAAAAGGGACGGCCTGAACCTTGAAAGTGTTTCGAGTTGTTTGCTTTTGTTTCTTTGCTCAGCTTCGTGTGTGTTGTATACACGTATACACACTTAATAGGACGCGTAGTCGCGAGGGTTTGTGCACGCGTACTTCGTGGTAGTAACACGTTACGCTGGTAGCGCGTGAACGTACACCTTACAGCCGCACAGGTTGCGCAAGCCACGATATTCTTCCAACAAGCGCTTCTGCCCCACCCAATGTGGTTAGGCCCTCTACCGGTCTGTCTCGCAGAATACCATCAAGGCAAGGTGAGGCGCTCACGTCTCGTCTTAGCTGCACTAACGCACTTGACCAAGGCGGAAATCGCCAGTCTGAGAGAAGGACCCCACCTGCCTGGTGGAACGGTCTTGCATGACCTTGTCTATGGCTATGCAGTTGATGCTTCGCTTGAGCCGGAGTGGTTGGTCATAACAGACGGGCAGCAGCCATGACGTTGGCGACTCCTCCACAACAGCTTTGGCCCAGGAAAAAGGTGCAGCGTAGGAAGCTCCCTGCGCTATCAACCAACGCCAAGCACGGGTGAACAACGCAGTGCACAAGATTACACTTTCGAAGCATTGCACCGAGTGTACTTTTATGACGCATGGAGAGTGCAGCCAGTCCTCGATGCCCCCGGATCTGAACCAGTCCTGCCACCGCGACCAGGCCTTTTAGTGCATGGCTGTTATTGGCCTCAGCCAAGTGCAACACCTGATGTCCTCTCTGTCTCTGACCGTGATACAGAAAAGGAGGAACATGATGTGCAAGAGGGACAGCCGCTGTCCTCTCCTGCGGCGACAGATGCCACAATGGCTGATATAGAAGCAAATGAAGCAGTCTCTGTCCACAGCTCCTCCTCAGAGTCGCCCACCATCCCGAGTACAGAGCAGCCGGAGGAAGATGACGCGCACATGGAAGACGACGACAGTGCTAACACCTCCTCTGCAGATGAGGATGATTGCCTTAGCAATCGGAAGCATGTTCAGCACAAGACGAAATGCTGGAAGCAGAAGATGAAGCAAGGAGCATGCTACCCCCACAGGACGGGGAACCCCTAAGTAGCAGCCCCACATCGCACTCCTCTGAGTCCCCTATCAAACGAAGACCGGGGTCTAAGGCTGGTGCAGGGAGAGCTCAGTCCAAGAAGCTACGGAAATCATTTGCTCCAGCATCCAGGCAACCGCTCGGTAGCATCCCCGAACACGAGCAACCACCGGCCTGGCAGACCTGGCCAGTCGGAATGCTCAAAGGCAGGAGGCTCCAGTTTGCAGGAACCCTGAGACACCACCTGACCATCCTGGAGCGACGCAAGAGCGCCCACACACCATGACAGAAATTGACCTCGCCAGCGATCAAGAGCATGCAGAGCGTGGAGGCACTGCTGCCACCGATCTCCAACTGGAATCTGAGCAGAGAGCCACGCAGGCCCTATACGACTATCAACATGCGGCTCGAACGGCCAGAGAAGCTGACGGACAAAGTGTGCCGCTCCCCTCATTACAGACCTACAGTGACCTGCCTAGAGAATGGCCGATGGCGAGGCTTGCAATTTCCAACAAGCAAATTAACCGCCTCGTCCGTACATTCCTCTGGAGGCGGGTAACAGAGCAAGCACTCCATGGCTCCTCCTTTGTGGACATTCCTGATGAAATCAACCAAGCCTACATAGGAGACCTTCTCCGTATCAGTGAAGCCTTTGCCGCTCCCCTGTCCAACCTCTTCACATTCGTGAAGAGTGGACACCCAGCATGCCCTTTCATTACGCACAAACAGCTCGCCCTTTATGCAAACCCCCGTTTCTGGCAGTATGGCTTACTTGCCTTCATCGCAAGGTGCTGTTCCTTTGATAATCAACACAGACACCAGGGTACAGGAACAGCCCAAGCAGAGGAAGGGAAACCACAGAAAACAAAGGAAAAAGATGTCGATGCCCTCACCTTTATGCAAACTATCATTATGTCCTTTGTTAGGGGAATGGAGCATGGCGAGCAGAGGCTACCCACCAATGACCTCTTTGTCTATCTCCCAGTACAGATCCTGCCCGACCTGGTTGTAGCCATGGAGCGGCAGGGCTTCACGCCCACGGAGGTGATACCGACCCAAAGAAGAAGGAGCTGAAGACAACCCTCTGCTCGTGGTGGGAGTGCACACAAAAGAATTTGCTTGCGACCGATACCCCCGAATGCCGGATACTTCCTGGGCTGAAAGAGCTTACTCTAGTGGTGCCCTTGACCCGTCTTTGGGACAAGCCTTCTCGTTTCCTTCCCTTCTGCAGCTGAGGCTGCGCATCGAAGTCCCCTTGTGGAGAAACCTGGCGACTGCCAGACACCCCGCTGCAGATTTGCCTGCAGAAGACGACTCTGCCTCTGATGCTACCGGGTCAGCTGAGCGATCGCCCAGACTTGCGCTCCCGGTGCCAGTGGGGCTTGCTGAACCACCAGAAGCTGACGCTGAGGAAGCTACTGAGGATGAGGACATGGCAGCAGAACCCAACTATGCTTTTGCCAAGGGATACGGACGTTTCGGCATAGGCCATACTAGGCTAGCAACGGCGCTTGGCAATTTTGAGCAAGGGAACATCCAAGCAGAAAGTACAGCAGTAGCTCAGTGGCTGACCTCCGGGCTACGAGTTGCCATGTCCCGCACAGGGTGGAATCTGCTGTCTCCCCGCTATATGCTGACCAAAGTTCCTAGTGCTATCCTCAGTAACTATTACTGCCATGGATATCCTTTCACTCCTAGAATGGAAGATCGCCCATATAACCAATATGGCCCACTCCTCTACTCGGAAGGCCGATGGGACCAGCTCTGTGCATGGCTCACTGGGAATTCCAAGTTTAGAAGTCAGCTCGCAGGCCACAAGCAGGCGCTTAGGGACCACATGGGCTACAGTCAGGAAGCCTCTGACCCAAGTAATAAAGCTCGCCGTACTGTCCCTCCTCCAGGAGCGGGAAGCTCCTCGTCTGCAGCAGAGTCTTCCTTTCACAGCAGGCCTCCCCCACCGCCTCCGCCCTATGGGTGGTGGCAGTAGGGCGGTCTCCAGTAAGAGACTCCCCACACAGTGACCGTTTCCTAGTAACTCGACCTCCTCCATGAGATGGGTAGCCTTAGCTACCCTAATTCTTGTTGTCTAAATGTTATCATGATTTTCGCAACGACAACATATCCGTTACCTCAGTTGTTTGGCCCAAGCAACTCGAGCATAAACGCTCGGACTGCCGCCTACGCGACAATGCCGCCTAACCAAGACCGTTATGAGGTCAGTCTTGATTTGGTTACAATAGCAGGCACGGAATATACTATGCAAGCAAATCTCACCCAGTACGAGGATGTGGCAGAGCTGGAAGATGACATTCTTTGCTTTCTGCCGACAGTTTCTGATTTGGATGTCTTCGGCTGTGAGTTAGATTTGCTCGACCTTCACACGCAGCAACCCCTGCCAGAAGCATTCCGCACAGCGCTCCTGCAACGGCCGCAACTACAAATTGTAGTTCGTCCCTGCATGGTAGATGGACACTCCATCTGGCAGTTCCAAGAGGACGGAAGGGAAAGCTACCCCAAAGCTGTACGTGTCCCGACTAACCCACGTGGAGAAATTGCTGACAGAGCCTTCTATGCTGCACCCTCGCTCCGGCATGTAGAAGTGGCAATGGGCATCCAACATGTAGGAATTGCGGCCTGGCAGAGCTGCCAGCTACTGCAAATTGTCAAGCTCCCACCCTCGGTCATAAGTCTTGCAGAAGGGTCCTTCCAGGGGTGCTATGTACTGAGAGAGGTGGCCGCCCCGGGGTGTGTCCAGTACAGCCGAAGAGTGTTTGCGGAGTGCTGCTCCCTAGGTCGAGTTGGTGTCAGTCACGAAACTGAGGACAGCAACGTCCTAGCACCAGGGGCACAGTTAGGCAAATATGCATTTGAGAGTTGCCTCACGCTTACAACCATCACCTTTGACATGGACCACACCAACAAACCCCGAGCGCTGCCTGAAGGTGCATTTTGTGGAGCAGGCATTGAACAGCTCTGTTTGCCAAGTGACTTTCACAATATCGGGCCGAGGGCCTGTGAAAACTGCAAAAGACTTGTGGAGGTCAACCTCATGGGCACAGAAATCACAGCCCTACTCTACTCCACCTTTGCCCGCTGTGTAGCCTTACATTGCATATGGCTACCACCACGACTCACGCAAATTGGCAAAGAAGTTTTCCTTAATTGTGTTGTGCTCCAAGAAGTAGTCATCCCGACAGAGCTCAGTGACATAGGCAACCGTGCTTTCTGCGGGTGTGAGCAACTGCAACGATTTACTCCCCTGGATTGGGGAGATATTGAACTGTGGGTGCAGGCAGAGCACAATGCTTTCTTCATGTGTGACAAATTTGAAAAACCCCGGTGGGTGGAGCTCCTCCCCGCGGATGGGCCCGATTCGGACGCCTTTGACGAAGAGCTATACCAAGAGTACTCCTAACATCAGGCCAGTCCATGTGAGGTTCAAGGTGGGTGCCTTAGCATCTGTCTTCAGGAAACATCCCTGGCCCTAGGAACAGTCCATGAGCAGAGTCAGAAGTTTTGGCTCAAACAGTAAATGAAAGTAGACAGCCATACATGGAGCTCGACGACTCATCCAGGCTTAGTACTCCCCCTGAAATGGAGCCGGTCATGGACTGCTCCTTGGTACTGACCACGCTCTCGGGAGTGACTATCAAGGTCTCTCTCAGTGTGGCAAAGTTTGACCGATTTGAGGACCTAGAGGACCAGGTTATGGACTATCTGGCCTCAGTCACTGACCTCAAAGTGTTTGGGTGCTCCATCGACTTTCTACAAACTGCCACACAGACATACCTTGAGGACCCAATCTGGGACAGGCTACAGCAAGGCATGGCATACACCGTTGTCTTCAAGGATAGCAGTGTCATCTTGCCATCACAGGAACAACTCGAAGGTTGCCCTATCCATCAGGTTCCGCTTGCCGTTCATGTCCCTATGAACCCA